GATTTTATTTATTTATTTATTTGAGAGAGAGAGAACACAAGTAGAGGGGAGGGGCCGAGGGTGGGGGAGAAGCAGACACTTGAGCTGAGCAGGGAGCTGAAGGCAGACACTTAACTGACTGAGCAATCCAGGTGCCCAGTACTTGATTTAATTCCTTTTAATGGCTGAATAACATTCCATGTTATGGGTTTATTTGTTTTTCGGTTGATGAACATTTGGATTGTTTCTACCTTTTGGCTATTATGAATAATACTGCTGTGAATATTCATATACAAGTTTTGCTTTTGGACATGTTTTCATTTCTCTTGTGTATGTATCTAGGAGTGGAATTACTGAATCATGTGGTAACTCTATGTTTAAATATTTGAAAAATGGTCAGACTGTCTTCCACAGTGACTGCAGCATTTTACATTCCCATCAGCAGTGGATGAGGGCTCCAATTTTCCACATCCTCAGCAACATTTCTTATCTGCCTTTTATTCTTGTGGGAGTAAAGTTGTATCACACTGTGGTTGTGACTTGCCTTTTCATGATGACTAATGATGTTGAGAATTTTTTTGCATGTGCCTGTTGGCTTTTTATACATCTTCCTTGGAGAAATATTTACTCAGCTCCTTTGCCTATCTTTTAATTGGGCCATTTTTCTTTTTATCATTTGACTATAAGAGGTTTTCATACATTCTTGATGCAAGTTTTTATCAGATATATGACTTGCATATAGTTTCTCCCATCCTGTGGGCTGTCTTTTCACCTTCTTGATATTGTTCTTTGAAACTCAAAAGTTCTTAATTAAAAAAAAAGTTCTTAATTTTGACTAAGCCTAACTTATCCAAGTTACTATTTTATTTTTTGTTCATGGTTTTGGTGTCATATCTACTAACGTTGCCAAATATGAGGTGAGGAAGAATCACCTCTGTGTTTTCTTATGTGAATTTTTATAGTCTCAGCTTTATATTGTGGTCTGATCCATTTTGAGTTAATTCTTGTATGTGGTGTGAAGAGTCCAAATTTATTCTTGTGCATATGAGTATAGAGTTGTTCTAGCACTATGTGTTGAAAAGACTATTCTTTCCCCATCAGATGGTCCTGACACCTTCACTGAAAATAATTGGCACAGACACATGGGTTTATTTCTGGACTCTCGACTGTATTCCATTGATCTAACCTGCCTTTACACTGGTCCCACATTGTCTGGATCACCATTGCTTTACAGAAAGGTTTGGAATCAGGACACATGATTCCTACTTTGTTCTTCTTTTTAGAACTGTTGTGACAGTTTGCTGTCCCTTGCAGTTCCAAAGAATCTTCATATCTACTTGTTAACTTCTACAAAGAAGTCAGCTGGGATTCTGGTAGGGATTACACTGAATCTGAGATTGGTTTGAGAAGTGCTGCCATCTTAACAATATGAAGTCTTCTGATTTATGAACATGGGTTTTTTTGCATTTATTTAGATATTCTTTAATTTCTTTCAACAATATTTTGTAGTTTTCAAAATATGAGGTTTGCACTTCTTTTACTAAATTTATTCCCAAGTATTTTGTTCTTTTTGACACTTTTGTGAATGGAATACTTCTCTTAATTTCATTTTCAAACTGTTAATTGCAAGTATATAAAAATATAATGGACTTTCTATTAATCTTCTATCTTGCTACCTTGTTGAACTTGTCTGTTAGTTCTAATACTTTTTTTTAGTCATTTCCTTGGGATTTTCTGTATGCAAGATCATATCATCTGTGAATAGAGACAGATTTATGCTTTCCTCCCCAACATGGATGTCTTTTATTTCATGTCCAATGAAGTTTGGAGCTTGCCCACACTCTGCTGCAAAAGCGGTCAGTCACTTTGAGGGGACATCAGGAGCCATTGGTTTTATGGCATGCTTATCTCCCAGGCAAAATCTCAGAGCTCTGAAGCTCAGAGTGGGGGGGGGGATGCCAAGCATCCCCATACGTGACACCCCATGCCCTTCCACTGTGTAGGGGAGGACATGTAGACCTTCATGGCTTCAAATCACTACACTAGTTGAACTAGACCAAGGGGATCAGGCCCCAGGATTCTCAGCAACACCGCACTTGAGATAGAGCCTCCATTCTCGAGTGGGAGCTGGGCAGAAAGGAGCCCCCATCTCTGGGCCATACTCATCTGAGACTTGGTCTCAGTAGTAGGCAGCTGGGGACAGGATGATAAATGCTGAAGTCCTGCCTTTTCCAGGAAGAAAGCTCTCCAGCTGGGAGTAAGTGAGAGAAGGAGTCCTGTGTTCTTGGCTGTGGCAGTCTGGAACAGTCTCTGCTTTGCTGAGCTGGGAGGGAGGGGAGAAAGAGTGGGTCCCAGTTCAAGTACTATGAAACCTATCTGTTCTTGCCACATTTTAGCAGCTTTTCTTGGAAAAATGTTTCTTTATATGGTATATGCCCTTAGGACCATTTCCATAAACTTAAATTGGTTGTTTTAAAAATAATTTTGATCAGTTTTGCTGGGGAGTGGGTCCAGGGACCTCATTATGCTGTCATGCTTGGAAGACCTTCTCTTTGTGATTCATATTTGAGATTCTTCGTTTATCATTGAATTTTCAGTCTTGGGCAGAGATAATAGTTTTTGATTTTTTAAAAAACTTGAATACTCCTAGCAGCCTTATTTGTAATACCCAAAGACTAGAAACAGTCCAAATGCTCACCTATAGGTGAGTGGATAAAAAACTGTGAGGGCAACTCAGCACAAAAAGGAATGGTCTGTTGACTCGCTCAGCCACGACACTGCGTGGGGTGAAAGGCAGGAAAATGCAGACACTGCAGGGAGAGACTCACACAAAACTCAGAAAAATGCAAGCTTGTCCCTAGGGACACAAAGCAGATTGTGGATGCATGTGGACGGGAAAGATGAAGGGTTGGGTGATTATTGATGGGAAGAGGAGACCTCGGGGGGCGATGGATGTAGCTATTATCTTGGTTGTGGAGATAGTCTCCCGGGGTAAAGTGCGTCAGACCTGTCAAATGGAACAGCGCAAATACACAGTTTGCCACATGCCGACTACAATCTCAATAAAGCCCTTAAAAATAACAGGAAGAGTGAAAGCCCAATTGCTGGTTATGTAGTTGCTCTTATAGTTGTTGAGTAGTTAGGTAGCTAGGTAATTTTATACTAATTGAACCAACTGGTTTGCAGTGCTCTGGGCGGCTTCCATTCCACACCATTTATTAATTTGATAAGTGTCTTTTATTAACTACAGGACAGAGAAATGAAATGGTCAGTTATCAGGCTCAAACTGATGCATTCTTTTTTTTTTTTTTTAAGATTTTATTTATTTAGTTGACAGACAGAGATCACAAGTAGGCAGAGAGGCAGGCAGAGAGAGGGGGAAGCAGGCTTCCCACTGAGCAGAGAGCCCGATGCGGGGCTCGATCCCAGGACCCCGAGATCATGACCTGAGCCGAAGGCAGAGGCTTTAACCCACTGAGCCACCCAGGTGCCCCCTGATGCATTCTTTTTTTTTTTTTTTTAAACATTACCTATGCTTATGTATTTTTTAAGACGTATTTTATTTTATTTATTTTTTTGAGAGAGAGAGAGAGAGAATGAGAGGAGAGAGGTCAGCGAGAGAAGCAGACTCCCTGCTGAGCAGGGAGCCTGATGCAGGACTCGATCCCAGGACTCCAGGATCATGACCTGAGCTGAAGGCAGTTGCTTAACCCACTGAGCCACACAGGTGCCCCCCCACCCTGCGCCCCCGCTGATGCATTCTTGACAAAAATCATTGACTTCCATTCTTGCTGGGGTTCCGATAAACTAATCACAAGGAGACACATCATTTCTACTATTACCTTGTGATTAGCTCGGTGCCGTCTGCTTCAACACAGGAGTGATGCTGAAGTCATCCTGAGTCTGAACATGCAAAGCGACCACACTCTGTTCTCGGCATATGGCCCGGAGTTGAACAAAGAGAGGTGCATAGGAAAGGCACAAGGGGGTCTTTGCTTTAAAACCCAAGCAGGTGAAGGAGGTGGCATGTCGCTTGCAGGGCCTGTTAAGACGGTTTCCTGGTGTGGGAAGAGCTGGTTGGCTTCGCAGGCCCCCTCTGGCCCCTCACATCCCTTTTATGTTTCCAGAAGTCTGGCTCTGTCTGGCCCCTTGTTCAAGCTCAGGCACTTCCTGTGCCCTCTGACTGGCTGGCCCCTCCCCGGGATCACTTCTGCTCCCTCTTTTCCCTCCTTCTTCCCCCATTTCCTGAGTGTGACTTATCAGGCAGGCGAGGAGGAGGAGGGGGAAGCCACTCGATGGTGTGGGGTGACCTGCAGGCTGGTTGGGACTTGCGTTTTTCAAAGAGAATCCAGGCAGCAGGTGGGGGGCTCTCCCTGCGGGATCCTGTCCTGAATTGAGTCGCATGGAAATGAACTATTAGTTTAGGCTGCTTCGTTACAGTGATTTTTATACTCCAGCTAACACCTGTCTTTAAAGCAGAAAGTGATTCCAAATCTAATGTAAACTAACCCAGGAAAATGGAGGTTAACCCATTCCTCCAGGTTTTTAATGGCAGGGGTTGGACATGGAGGCATTCCTGACACCCAGACCCACTCCCTGTCCCCCTACCCCCACCCTCCCACCTCCCCGTGAAACCTCAGTGGAACCACTGCTGGAGAACCCAGCTTCCAGGAGGCCAGCCCAGCTGGAATGCAGGATCCGCCCCTCCTGTGGAGCCCTCCTCTGTGACACACTTCCTGGTGCTTGAGGGTCAACTAAATTTTAATTTCTTGTGAAATCTGGAAACCACTGTGAGCTCCTCAGAGACAGGCGCGGGCTGAAGTATGAACAGTTCTGAAAACCCGCCCACCTGAAATCATCCCTCACAGGCACTGTGGGACGGAAAGGACAGTGACGAAACCAGGGGGCCAACTCTGGGGATTTGTAGGGTGCAGGGGACAGGGGCTGTTTGCTTTAGAGAAGAGGGGCTCTTGGGGTTCATAAGTGTCTCTAAATATTTGTAGGCAGATTTTAAAGACTGTGGAGGCCTGCTGTCCTGCACCTCCACAGAGAGCCCCGCTTTGGGTAAAAACAATGTTGTTGGTCGAGAGTAGCACCAGCACCAGGCTTCCCTGTAACAAACAGGAGCGGTCACCATGCCACGCTGGACACAAAGTCACATGACCTTCCATGCATTTTCCAGACGGACATCGGGCCGTTTCTGCACATGGAAGGGCAGGAGCCCAGCCTGAGCACAGGCCCTGGGGCAGGAATCTGCTTCCTACAACCTCCTGGGGGCCATCTTGGCAATGTTCCTCGCTGCCTGCTGCCTCTGTTTCCCCATGGCCCCTTCCTCATGGGTTGCTTATGAGGGTTAGGCAGGAAGATGGTGCAGCAGGCTTGGGACAGCGCAGAGGGACACTGAGAGCTGCCGTTGGTGTCCTTGTTCTGTTGTGGGCACAGAATTAGCCTGAGCCCCAGAAAATACTTTGATTAAGGCAGGGCAGAGGAAAAGGCACAGGGCTCCCTGCAGGGTGGGCGGCAAGAAAACGTTCCAGCTCTGGGGCAGCTCCTCTGTGTGGGCCCTGGAGTGGCGCGCTCTGGGCTCTGCCCGGGTTGGTGCTGACTGTAGGATGCGGGGGCCCCGGTACCTCTTGTGCGTGTGGTTGTTTCCACTCTCGGTCTGTCCCCCGGTCCTCATGACGCAAGACAACTTCTCCAGCAGCAGGCGGTTGTCCCTGTCGATGATGGCAAGCCGCTCCTCCTCCAGCTGGGGACAGACACACAGGGAGCCTCTGGAAGCACCAGCCACATCCGGGCCATGACAGCACAGACTTATTTAGAGGCTCACTTCAACCCCACACTTCCTTCGACTTGAGCACACTGCGGCTTTTAACGTGCTCGCAAGCATCAGCACCCCGTGTGCCACGGGTGGGCTCCTTTGTCTATGAATCGGAATACATTAGGGCACGGCCAAATCCCCTGCGCTCAGAGTGGGGGTAAGAGCGAGGGTGCCACGGGTCTTTGTGAAATTAGGTCACCCTCCAAAACTCCGAGACGGGGATGCTAATGAGGAAATCACTTCAGGTTTCAAGAGAGCAATTTTAGAAGACGAGATCGGAGCCCAGAGGAAATGGACACCCTCGTGGTTTAGGGCCGAACACTGACGGATCTGCCGGCTCTCTGGACTGGGCCCAGTCAGCGCCCATCCGCCCCCTTCGGACCTTGTCACTGGCAGCCACGCGGAGGCCCCACGGCATCCCTGTCAGCACAGCCATGGGAGTCTTATTCTCACTCTGTGGTTTATGCTTCCAGAAATAAATAGTCTGTGGTGGGCAAGAGGTGGTCTTGTTTATTTATTTATTTTTTTTTTTTTGAAGAAATGGTCCTGTTTAAAGGAAGGGTACTGATTGACCTCCTTAAAGCCACCGCCATCCACTCCCGCCCCTCGCCGCCCTCGCTTCCTAGAGACAAAGGGTCCGCGGGAAGACCAGAGAGGACTCCCGGCGTCCCCGCCGCCCCATAGCTCCATCCCGGCACCATGAGGTTAAGTGGCCGTGGTTGCGGCCGGTCTCGTGGATGACAGGAACATGTATCCCTGACCGAGCCTGCATTTTCCACGTCCCTAGGTTCTGAGTTGACAATTCCTCATGAGCTACACCAGCACCTGAGAGGTAGCAGAGAAATTACCTTTAGCTTCTTGAGTTTCAGGCGGAGGTGGCCAAGGCTCCAGGGGGCGCGGGCGTCCACGAGGGGCTGGGCATCCTGGACCTGCGGTGCAGGGCAACATGTGACCCTGGGCACACGTCAGCTGGTGATTACCATGAACCCAGATTGGGTAGCTCCTGGGCTGTGGCCCTGGGGACAAGTATCGATGATTGTTTGTGGCACCAAAGATTCCAGGTCAGCCTGGGGCAGATGGTCCTGAATGAGGCTCAGGACTTGAGTCAAAACCCAGTTATTCCGTGGGGGAAACGGGCAGCCCTGGGGGATGAGCCTGCACCGTGGTTTTCAAGTAGAGAATGAAGTAGGTACAGAGTAAGAAGTCATCAAACGTAAGTGCCAGCCAACATTTCTGTTCTGTTGCCAGAGGCCTTTTTTTTTTTTTTTTTTTTTTTTTTTTTAAGATTTCACTCATTTACTTGACAGACACAGATCACAAGTAGGCAGAGAGGCAGGCAGAGAGAGAGGGAAGCAGGCTCCCCGCTGAGCAGAGAGCCCGACTCGGGGCTTGATCCCAGGACGCTGAGATCATGACCCAAGCTGAAGGCAGAGGCTCACCCACTGAGCCACCCAGGCGCCCCCTGCCAGAGGCCTTTAAGGCAGTGAGTTATGAGGCTGTGTCCACCTCACCCTGATCTCTGGGCCTCCAGCAGCATGTTCAGGATGAGCCCCTGAAACACTGACGAACTTCCAAGTGATCTCTGCCGCTTCCCGTCAAGAAACGTACCAGCGAGGGGAGAAAACCTAGCTTCCAGAACATGATGGAGTGAATGCATCAGGGCTACCTGTGTTACCATCTGCAACAAAAAGGGACCCCCCCCCCAATATTCCAGACCCTGCTCGACCGCTAGCCAGACCACTAGCTCCCAGACGCATTAGCTGATGACCCGCAAGCGACTGTGTTGGGAAAGGCCAGCAGCCGGGTGACTCTGGAACGATGACGTGAGCATCATTCGCTCCTGGAGTGAAAGCCAGCAGGCCGGGCAGCGGGAGCCAGGACAGCACAGAGGGGCTAGCTGGCAAGAGGCTGGGACAGCACACTCCGGGATGGATGCGTGGCCCCTGACGGGAGAGGCAGACTAAGGAGCAGAAACAAGGCAGTAACACGGCCACATACATGACCTGGGGTCCCTCTGTCACCAGCTGTGGAAGCAGCCAGGACCAGATGCGGGCTAGCCAGGGCTGTGGGGTGGTGAGCAGAGGTATGCCGGGGATGGTGGAATTAAAAATACACCCGGGACCTTACTTTTTCACGTTATCTTTAAAATCAAAGCTCCCGGGCGCCTGGGTGGTTCAGTGGGTTAACGCCTCTGCCTTCAGCTCAGGATCCTGGAGTCCTGGGATCGAGTCCTGCATCGGGCTCCCTGCTCAGCGGGGAGTCTGCTTCTCCCTCTGATCACCTCCCCAAGCTCTCCCTTTCCCTCTCTCATTCTCTCTCTCAAATAAATAAATAAAATCTTGGGAAAAAACCCTAAAACTGAAATAAAGTGAATTAAGGGGCTGAGGATAAAATCAAGAAACCTCCCCAAAGTGAGCCAGAAGTAGAGAGACGGGCAGGAGGAGAGAAAATGAAAGGACGCTAGAGACTCAGTATTGGGTTAGGGACATTGGACTAGGAGGGTGTCTAGAAAATGGAAGGGGACAGAATTTTCAGAGTCTCTAAAATGAAAGAATCTATCAGAATAAACTCGAAGAGACTCATGGAAGCATGCCATCATGAGATGTCAGAACAACAGTAGTAAAGAGGAGGTCCTTCCTAAAGTTCCTGGGAAGAAACACCCACACGCCCATGCCCATGGTTACACAGAAGTCACAGGAGTCTTTAGAGAAGGTGTTGGCTGAAGCAGAGGGCTGATCATCCGTTAACTCACGCTCACCCTACCACAGTCTTGAGCTGTCACTCCTGTCCAAACAGGACCATGCTTCCTAGGACTCTTGGCACTGAGGTGTGGCTCTCTGATGATTTTTTGCCAAAGCAGCATCAAAGATGTTCCAGTTTTAGGCCAAGGTCTCTACGAAGCAGGTGTGCCTTCTGTGCTCTACCCTGCCCCGCCCCCCCACACACCCCTACGCACCACCCCCCCAGCAGGACCCAGGTTGTCACAGAGCCTAATGGGCAGAGGAGCCACAAGTGAGTGGGTCTGGTCCAGAGCCATCCACACACGGGAATAGGCGCAGGGACTGATAGTGCTGGGGTCTTTATACATTTATAACATATATATGTATATGTTATAACATGTATAACATATATACATTTTTATACATTTATACATTTTATACATGTATACTTTATACATTTAAGATCTATTTGTTACAGCAGCTCATATTACTCTAACTTATGATGAGGACCAATGCCTCCAGCATCCTAAGGGAAGGCTATTTCCATCCTAGAATCTCATACCAAACTTTCTATCAGGAGTGATGGGAGGAGGGCACCCAGGTTGCTCAGTCGGTTAAGTGTCTGCCTGCCGCTCTGGTCAGGATCCTGGGTTTGGGGGCTGAGTCCCGCATCAGGCTCCTTTCTCAGCGGGGAGCCTCCTGGTCCCTCTGCCCCTGACCCTGCTTGTGCGCTCGCTCTCGCTCTTTCTCTCTCTCTGACAAATATATAAATAAATCTGTAAAAAAAAAAAAAAAAAAGGAGTGATGGGTGAATGAAGGATTTTTAACATGGAGACCAAAAAAAAAAAATCCAAAACAAAAGACCCCCCACACACAAAAAAGCTCCCTGCCCCTGTTCTTAGAAAGCCACCCCCCGGCATGTACTTCATCACGTGAGGGTGTAAGCCAGGACTTAACCTAGAGAAGCACTTTCTGCAGGGGAGACCAGCAAAGGGAGCCCCATAGCCAGCAGTTCGGTGGACCACACAGCTGGGAGCAGAAGAAAGAGGGGGGCAGAAGGGGGGTGCTGAAAGATTATGCGAAGTTTTTGAGTGTTTGAGAATTTATTCATCAGCATTTGATGACTAATGGAATATTTGGGAAAAAATAGCTACAAATATACAGAAAACTCAAGAACATGAAAACAAGGCAATATTAACTCTTACAAGAAATTGTAAGAAAGGAGATATAGTTACAACTTGACTCAACAGTAAAAGGTTTTGCATAGTCACTTTAACTATCAATAATCTACATTTCTTATTTAATTGGTTATTGATTGAATAAAAACTGATTCTCTCCATGTTGAGAAGAAATGGCAAATAAGCATTTTATTCTGAGAAATGGAGGTCAAAACCAAGAGAAACTGCTGGAAGGGCTGCGCATGGCTGCCTCAGAACCAGGCTTTGCTGCTTTTTATCAAGTTGTTTTGATACTATTCTTTTTTTTTTTTTTTCAAAATGTATCTATATCACTCTTATAAAAAGTAAAAGGATTGCAGAATTATCAGACGGAGTGGGAGCTAGAATTGCGCAGGCTCCCGAGAAAGCAGGTGGCCTATGGTACAGCCCAGTTCCAGGTGCTTCGAGCCCCTACAGCGGAGCCCCTGCCCCCGCTGCCCAGAGAAGCGCCTGGGCCCTCAGGTTCCAGACAGACCCCTTGCAGACCGCACCTCCCCCTCCTCTGACTCCCTCCCTGCTTCCCCATCTTTGCCGCTGGGAAGGCACTTACAACCCATCCACTCTACTGTCACCTTCTTAAATTTACGGAAACTGTTACCATCTATCATCACCACTCGGCTTCCTTTTTCACTCAAAATTATCGTTTCTAAAAAATATAAACTTTAAACATAAAAATGAGAAAAATAGCCCAGTGGATTCCCACGTAGCCTCATGCCCCTTCACCAAAACCAGCTCTGCCCCCGCCGGCTGCCCTCCGTCATCTGAGAGGATAGCAAAGCAAACAAAGCAAACCCTTTTCTCCCTCAAATACTCTAATGTATGTCTCTGCAGTACAGGGCACCTTTAAAAGACACAGACCAGCAGTACCGTAAGCACAGCAAGGTGACAACAGTTCTCTGGGTATCCAGGCACTGCCCCTTTCTTCTACTGTCCCTCCCCTCCTCTCTCTTTCTCATTTGCTGGTGTGACTTGGGACCCAAGTAAGAAGGTCCGTAAGTTGCACTTACTTGATATGTCTTTTGCATCTCTCTCTTTGCTTAAAGCTTTATTGATTTATTCTAGAGTGAGAGCGAGCGAGCCAGGGGGAGAGGCAGAGGGCAGAGAACCACAAGCAGACGCCCCACTGAGCGCTGAACCTGCTGACCAGGGGCTCGATCTCCCAACCCTGAGAACACCACCTGAGCCAAAATCAGGAGTCAGATGTTTAACCGACTGAGCCACCCCGGTGCCCCTGCATCTCTTTGAATAAGAGTTCTCCCCCCATTCCCCCCCACCCCCGCAATGTGTTACAAGGAAGCCAGATCGTGTGCCCTGTGCACATTCTCAGTTGGATTTTGCTGACGGAATGCCTGGCACCACGTGGAAACTGACAGGAATTCAGGTTCGGTTTTTCCTGGCAAGACTATCCCTTATGTGGTGCTGTGATATTTTATCACAAGGTACACATGTCTGCTTGTCTCTGTTTTTGTAAAAAAGAGACATTCTAAGTCCATCATTCATTCTGTTTATTTGCGGGAATACTTCGATGGAGCCAAGCTTCAGTTGGCAGGATACGTACTGGGCTCTTCTTAGGACTTGGTTCTTAACCCCTTGCAATGGTGGCCAATATGGTGTTTCTGTTTAATATCATTGGAAAATCAAAGACTCAGACCTATTGGATGTGTTTCAGCCCACTGCGATGGATAGTCAATGTGCCCCACCTGTGGCCCATGAGAAGGTGCTAATAACCTTGACAGCTTCCTTGCCCTCTGAGTGACAAAGTGATGTGGGGTTAATACGTATATATCCTATCTCAGCTTGGAATCTGCCGTTTCTACAGGAAAGCCTGGTTCTTCCAATGGGAAATGGCATTTAGAGACCAAGTCTGGGTTCCCTGGAGTTTCGTTTGTACCAAGTTTGTTCTTTCAAGGTCTTTGCCATAGACAGCGCTCCCCTGGTCCTTCTAGCTTTGGTTCGGAACCCCATTCCCCTTAGCTAGGCTAAGGGGTCTTA